CTAGGGCTTGTTAGTCTGCCTGAAGGAGTATAGAAGTTCCAGGCTGGCATAGCTTCTATTTTATTAAATTTTTTTTCTTGCCTGCAACCTGATTTCTTCTGGTCTGACCTAATTCCTTTGATGCCTGGGGCTTGGAGGCCGGTACTAATCTGCATCATGGATGTGTGGAGGAAAGGTAAGACAATTAAAAGAAAAGTAAAAGAAGGAAAGAAAGGTACCTGGGTGGGAATGCTCTTTAAAACCAAAATAAGCATTTTGAAAGCAGGACACTTTTGTTTTAGTGCATCCTTTAAGGAAGAACCCAAATTCAATGCATGACCTAATACAAATTTCCCTTCTCTCTTAACTCTTTACTTTTTAAAGGTATATAGTAAACCATTGTAAAACTATGACAAAAAAAGAATGGCAGAATGCTAATTGTAGCATCATACGATAAATTCCAGGGTAAGAAAAATATCTGTTTATGAAAACGAAGTCATGCTCTAGATGTCATAATGATAGAAAAGGTTTGCGCTGACTTTCATGTAGAGATCATGTGACAGTCTAAGCTTTGCTACTAAGCTTTGGAACGTGCTGATATTCAGAGTTTCTTAGACCTGCCCACTAACTTATTGTTTCTCTGGGTCTGTTCCCAGTTTCTTTTTCCCTTTGGGAAGCAGGTTCTTCTTACCACTCAAATATGCGTCCAACATCTTGTAATCATTAATATACCAAAGGCAGGGGCAAAGGGGGCATATTTTTAAAGTGTCTCTGCTCTCTTGATTTTGGATTACTATGAATCCTGGAGAAGTGGGAAGGTGAAATTTATCCTTTCTTGCTAACAAATTGCACACCTTTTTTGAGATGTTAAAAATTGTAATTTTGTTTGCATGGATTTACAAGAAAAGGCGAGGGTGTCCATTTGTGATTTGATTAATAGAGATTCACAAAGTCATCCTTACACCTGCTCCCATCAGAAGAGATGCACTTTATTTAAAGCAAGAAAATGATCAGTAACAGTAATTGTTTTCAACACAGTAGCACGCCTTGGTACAGGGATATTTTCACTTCACAGATGTTTGAAGTCACTTGGAGCTCAGCCTCCAAGCTTGTTATTCATTTGGCATCCAAATTCATGTTTCATAGCCATGTGACTATCTTATGTGCCAAAAATAGAAGGAATCCTCTGAATTTAAGAGCTATACCATAGCTGCCTAATCTACACAGCTTCTGTGTTTCAGGATATATTTGCAGATTCAAAATATGTATTTCAGTCAATTGTTTAAAACTATTTATTCAACAGATATTTAGGGCTGCTAATTGGTACAAATGTGTGTGCTTTCTGTGTTCCTCCCAGAGATAGGAGGTGTCTCCTTTTTATTCTCCTTCTATTTTCACTTGTATTTTAGTAGTGGATACACCAGTGAGCAGGAAAATAATCACTACACAGATATTGAGAAGGAAAGAAAAAGAAGAGGGGTTTGTAATCCAGATAATTCACAACACAGAGAGCTAACAGAGGCATACCCAATGATAGGATATTAGATTATTAGGGGTGTGCATGTGCTGTATTTTAACACAAGCCCATGGAATCAGCATTTTTCACACTGAAGAAAAATTTTGGCAGTTTAGTCTGAACATTGCTTCTAACAGAACTGGAAAGGCCATTTGAAAACAGTTTAAGCCCACACATCATTTCTTATTTGATCCAAAGAAATAGAAAGTCAAACATTGGTATAAACTGTTGCTACTTTATTTCATTGGCTCCTCCCACGTAAACTAATGAGCACTTACGAGCAGAAAATCCAGCTATGGAAGATCCCAAACCATGCACTATGGTTTTCTTTAGCAGAGATACCAAAAATGATCCCATGTTTAGTCTATATTGTTCAGTTCTGAAATCATTATAGTTTGTGCATTGGGCAGGTAGAGATTAATTTGCGTTTGTAAACGTGCACACCCTTCAGGGCAGCTGTATTTTATGCACGGATGAACAAGGATCTTCTAGCAGCAAACCTATGGAGCTGACTTTCTTATGCCTTCTATATTTTTCAAGCACAAGTCTAAGCACATGAACAGCAGATCGCCAATTTTAAATTGCTCCTTGAACTCATTTTTTAGTTTAATGTTATAATTAATGTGGTTTGTAAGCTAACATTAGGTGTAAACTTTATATGGATATATGTACATATAATTTCCTCAGACGCAAACATTTTTATCAGGTTTTAAGGTTTACTCCATCAAAATTCCTTTGCATCCTATCTTATTTTTACATAATTCTGATGAGGAATATGTAGTGCTGAATTCCTTAAGCAAGCTAGACCTAATGCGTATGATAATGATCACAGCAATTACAAACACAATAGATGTACATTGTCCCAAATGAGATCTGAACTCCTGATTAAAGAAAGACAGGGCCTCTTCCTTTTTTTCCTATGTGTGTCTTGTGTAACAACCTCATTGTCTATAACTAATAGATAAAAATGCAATGAGGTGAGTCTAATACGACAGATAGTGAAACAAGCAAACAAAATTGCTTACATTTCTGCGTGCTGTGCTAACCCCTTTCTCAGATGATCTGAGCAGCTTTACCTTTTTCTAATTTTGCTAACATCTCACAGGCATGGAGCAGTGTCCCCCTCCCCATACTCCCCCACCCGCCACCCCCTGCCCCAACCCTCCAGCTCCTCCCTCTCCCATCTTTTCTCCTTCCTGCTGTTTCATTACATTTTCTTATGTGCATACCATCAAGTCCTCTTGGACACATAATCAGATTTGTGCCAGACTATGTTTCTTGGCTTTAATGGTTAGTTAGCTTTCCAGAATACACATGCTGCTTTATACATGCTTTTATTACTGACATCATGAGAATGCATCTCTCCTATGTTTACAATTGGGTGTTCACCCTTAAATAAAAGCCATGAGATCAGGTTTAAGAGAATTGTTGTTTAAGAGAATCTTTGAAAAGCAGAATAAAAACAGCTGTTATCTGCTTGAACCATTTCATTTTCTTTCATGATCTGAATGATAATGATGTGTAACAGTGGGCAGTCTCCAGCTTTCATTATACACCATACATCAGAGCCTCTTTCAGGATGGAATTGGGTCTCCGTTTCGGAGTTCCAACAGGATCTTTTCAACCTCACTTCTAACAGGTGTTGGTGTTTGGGGGAGGGGGTGAAGGGAGAATAAAACACCTTTGCTTGTTTTCCCACTGACCTCCGGATCCAGGAGGCTGGTTTTCATTGCCAATGTGGGTTTGAAAGTCAAACCAGGTCCTTGCTGAAATCTCTCTCGCCAGGAACAGATTATGAATATTTCCACATGTCAAACAAATGAACAATAGGGTGGTCCTTATTAATCAAAGCTCTTCTAAACCAAGTACAGATGGTAGCAATGAATTTCTCTTCCATGAAGATATCTGAAGCCGGGAGGAAATAGATCTCACAGAAATGCACATTTCTTCCAGAGACACTAGACAAGGAATAAGTAGCTCAACCCAAATGTAACCAAAAAGGAAATGAAACAGAACAATAACAAATAAATAAAAAATTTAAAATACGCGTATTCTCCATGATCCAAACTAGAAGGCTGATTGAGCTTATTTCCATTCAACACTCCCTTATCGCAAGCTGTTCCTGAGGATTCTGCAGCATTTGCCTAGAGACTGACAAGCTCAAATTGGTTTTAACCTCCAGAGTCCCCTTTTCATATCGCAGATGTTGCTGATTGGGGAGCAGAGTTTTGCTTTCCCCAAAGTATGTGATTTCCAGGCTCTGGTGGCATCTACTATTGAGAGCATAACTCCTCTCAGACAACAATGTCATTTGTTATTTTTAATTAACAGAAAAACATCAATAGCGATGTTTGAAACTGCATTGTATTCAAAACTTGAGAGTGAAGAGAGTTAGGGAAGCAATTTTATTTAAAGAACAGCCCAGAGGCTGGATGCATGGCTGTGTTTCTCTGACCCTAGCTGTATTCCCTAAGCCTCTTGGGTGGCAAAAAACTGGGTTGAGAAATCACCTGGGAACAAAGACTCCTTGGGACGTTCTATATCACCAGATGCTACTATTTAGGAAGAGAATATTTAAGATGTTTTAGCAAAATTGGTTTCACTTTTTCACTCAAGATTGGTGCTAGTACGGTCCCATGTAGTCAGTCCTTCAAGGTGAAGGATCAAACGAAGCTAAGATGTCACTCACTTCACACCTTATCTCAAAGTGGTGTTAAACCTAAATTGTATTTGAAAGGTGAAAATTCTGTTGTGAAGCCCTTAACATAGAGGGTATCTGATTTCCACTGATAAAATAAAATTCCATGATGTAAAAACTTTACCGGAGGCCATTCTCTTTTTAGCCTAAATCTTTTATACTGCAGCTAAGAGTGTACTTCCTCTTAATCTGATCTCAGTAAAGAGAGCAATATTCAAAATACTTTAATGTATGGTTAAAGATTTTTCAAAGTCTCCTTTCAAACTTTTTCAACATAATTATAGTAAAGATGGGAAATTTTTCTGCTAATAGATTAAGTATGTGCCTGAAACCTCAGATTAATTATAATCTTTTTCAAGAGGACTAAAATTATATAACTTTTTATGAGGAGATAACACTTTATTGGATTTTAAAAGGAAATGAAATATTCCTTTTAAAGAATATATCGGCATTACGTATAAAAACAATTCCTCTACATGTCATAATTATGATTTCACAATGACTTTTTTGGGGAGGTGTGGAGACTGTCCAACTGATATCTTGTTGGAAAATAAAAGGCCTTATGAAAATAATCTCTATTACTATTTTTAAAATATGAGGTATTTTGTTCAATATATAAAATAGTATTTTTCTCTTTTTATTTCCTTTGTTTTTTTTTTTTTTTTTTGTCATGCAGGCTGGAGTGCAGTGGTGAAAACACAGCTCACCATAGCCTCCACCTTCCCAGCTCAGATGATCCTCCCATCTCAACCTCCTGAGTAGCTGAGACTGCAGGTGGGCAACACCCCTATGGTTAATTTTTTTTTCTGATTACATACATATATTTAACAGTACAGTTTTACACAGAATGCTAAGAGCACTTTTCTTCATTTTTACAGAAGGGCTTGAAACATACGGACTTTCTATTAGTAATCATACAATAGCACATCCAAACCTAATTCCTAAATAGATGATACATTATAATTTGTTTGGAATTTAAAGGCTTAATGGGAATCATCAGGGGAGGAAAAAGAGTAAGTTTATTTTGCATAACTGACCGAAACATAAATTCAAGAAACAGTAAGCAGAATTTAATATGGTCTCCTGCACCCTGAAGGAGGTGGTGCCCGATTTGGAGGGGTAATTGCTATGTCCAAGTAACCTCCTATCTGGAACTTCTGCGACTGCAGAGTCATGGAATCATCAGTCCCCTTTCTGCCAGACATGGTGCTGCCAATCTCCTTAACTCCATAGCCAGGTCTTTTAGCATCTGTAAAAACGAGTGCAAAATTGAAGCGAGTGCCCTTCCATCTAGCTTCTGGGTAGAATTCTTTTACTAAGCTTGTCAGTTCTTTCAAGATTGCATCCACCCAAGTGTAGATCTGCCACTCGCTGGAGGGGACGTTTCCCCGGAGAACTCATCCACTCGGTGGTGGTGGCCGTTATTGGTGGTGAAGACCTGTGGCAGCAGCGGGCACGTCTTGGACTGTCGATTGGCTTCACTGCCTCCTTCTTAATTTCCTCCTGGGTAGTGCGTGACTCCACCGCCATCTTCCTCCTATGGCCTGCCTAATGTTTTACTTATTCATAGAGACCAGATCTAGCCTTGAACTCCTGCGCTCATGCAATCCTCCCACCTTGGTCTCCCACAGTATTGGGATTACAGGCATGAGTCACCACACCTAGTTTGAAATAGTATTTTCCAATATCCCATTTAGGGTGTTCAGTTCTCTGAATATGTGGCAGTCCATCCAATTCTAAATTAATACAGAATCATTGCCAATGCCAAAAAAGACTTCATTCTTCCCATTTTTTGGTGTGATGTTGAATAAGTGATAGTATCTCAGTGAAACTGACTTTCCCTGAGAAAGTGAAAGAAAACATGCTGCTCCTCAGAGGGGCATTCCTCATGCCACACTTGTATGTATCTAAAAAGGCTTCTTATGGCACCACCATACAATTCAGGGCAGGAGATGAACTCTGTTCCATAAGCAAACACAGTAACTTCCATGTGAAGACAATGAAAGATGAATCCATGTATTAGAACCTCAACACTCTTTAGGAAAGCCTGAAAAATTATTCTAGAATGTCAACATAGCTTTTAGAATTTTTGCTAAAAGCCATGTTTACATTCAATTCAGATATGATACAAAAATCTATAAATATTAATAGTTATCTTGATTTGTCTACTCCTCTGTTGTAATTAAATTAAAGATAAGGAGCTGCCACATAATGTTAGGTGGAATTAATAAGAACATACATGAGAGAAAGAAAGAATAATTTTGATGGAAGAGTCAGGGTAAAAAATGAAAGAAAAGGAAGGAGAGATCTGAATCTCCACCTGGAGAAATGTATTAGTCTGAGGAAATTTGGAATGACTACTCACCAGAATATGGATTAAAAAGTTAACTATATTGAATAGTAATTAACATTTTAAGATGCTTACAACCTACTGAGGATTTTATTCATTGCTTTATACTTATTCACAGTTTTTGAGTACAGTGGCTAAGAGCTTAAATTCTGGGTTTGAATCTGACTAGTTCTTTGACGTTGGCCCGATGGCTTCCTTGTGCCTCCAGCTCCTCATATACAAAATGTGATGAAAAACTCATTAAAAATCCTTCTTCATAGGTTTATTATGAAGATAAATTGATTAAATATTGGGAAGTTCTTGGAACAGTATCTGGGACATACTAAACACTATGCAAGGGTTTATTATACAACATTCTCTTTTGATTTTCACAGTAACTTTCTATGATACAAACCATTATTTTCCTTTTAAAGTAAAGATAATTGGGGCTTCGAAGTTGATTACCTTGCCTAAGATCATACAGCTAGTAGATGGTGGCAAGGGGGTTGGTATTCTGTATATCTGATTCCAATGTCACAGCTTCACTATGCTGTAGAGTGAACTTAGGTTTAACTACCAAGTAAGAAACTGTAATCCGATATTCTGATAAAAATCAAAGGCATTGGCTTCACTGACTACCATCTCTCTCTGTCATCCTAGGAAGAGTAGTAGATAAATGTACAAATATAGATTGCAGAATGTATGTAAATGTGCATTTTGGCGTATCTAATTTTTGAACCCATTTTTCCTTTCCAAGAGTACCCACTTATTGAATTACTTGATAATAACACGACTTTTGATATGCCAACCTAGAGGTACCATCACTAAAGAGGAAGTGTTATGGCCAGCTGCAGTGACTCACGCCTGTAATCCCAGAACTTTGGGAGGCTGAGGCAGGTGGATCACCTGAGGTCAGGAGTTCGAGACCAGCCTGGCCAACATGGTGAAACCCCATCTCCACTAAAAACACAAAAATTAGCTCAGCGTGGTAGTGTGCACCTGTAGTCCCAGCTACTTGGGAGGCTGAAGTTTGAGAATCACTGGAACCCAGGAGGTAGAGGTTGTTTGAAAATGGGTATCTTCTCCACTATACTAAAAGCTCCATGAATGTAAGAATTATTTCTGGTTTGCTTATTCTTTTATCTCTGGCATGTGGAATGGTGTCCAGTATGAAATGAGATAGCCGCACAATGTCTGCCATATTCATCAACAAAAATTTCGGGCCTCTGATGGGCTGTTAGGGGGTGATGGTGGGAGTTTACATAAAGACTGGTGCACATGCATGGCATGTTGGAGGCTGTGAGAACAAGAATGCTCTGTGGACAGTGCTGTTTCAGGGTTGTTTCAAAATAGAAAATATGGACAAAAGATAATACTAAGAAAATGGAAGACAATAGGAAAAAAAGATCAACTTAAGAAAAACCTGCATTGTTTTGTTTCAGAGGAGGGTAGGAAGTTCAGGAGGAATTTTTGTTTTGTTTTTCACAGTATTTGTAGCACCTTTGAGTTGATTCTCTTTCTGAAATCTTATTAAAACAAGGTGGCTATGGTTAGAACCTATAGGTTAGAATAATATATACCAAGAGGGTTGATGGCAGCAGTAATATCACCTTTATATGGTGGATTCTCTTGGTATGTTTCAAAGAATCATCACCCAGTGACACCTGGGTGCAGGAACTCGTATGTGATTAATCAAGGAAGCACCTTCTCTGTTGAACTCTGGAGAGAAGTTTCTGTACCCAGCAGGTGAAATAACATACTGGGGAGCCTGGCAGGCAGAGTGGCATATTCCCTCCTGACCTCAATTTCCCAGCCACGGTGCCGTCTGTTTGTGTGTAAGAGCACTAGGCTAAGAAAAACAGCAAGGATTCTATCAGGATCCCACAGTATAGGGAGATAGTGATCTTCTCATTTAGTCAAGTAAAAAAGGCTTGATTTCAGTGGTATTTGAGGAAGAAGAAAGATAGACTAATTTGGCTACCCATTTTAAAAGAAAGCATGCCATCTGCTAAATCTTTCCTTACCAATTTATGTCCATTTAGTTTACATCTCTTGGAATTGTAAAACAAACAAACAATTACTAATTTTAATCCTTTAGAGGGAAATGTTTATTCTCGTTCTTTTTTTCTCTATGGCTGAACAAGTTATTATCTTTAAGGAGAGGCTGCTTCTAGGTATATAAACAGAATATATACATTTGGGTTTATTTTATTTTGAAGTTAAAAGTTAAAAACGGACACAATTTTGTGGGGTTTATTCTTCTTAATAGATAATCCCCTAATGCATAGTGAGTTTGAACAGGTATCTGGAAATGATGCTCCTTAATTATTTCATGGACAACTAAGATATTTCCTGAGGTTGACTGACTAAAAAAAATTCTCAGAAATCAAGCACTCTTAAAAACATGCAAAATGAGGGGGACAGAGCAAGATGGTCAACTAGAAGCTCCTAGCACTCATCACCCTACAGAGGCTGCCAAAACAACAAATAAACTATATTCAAATACAGTAACTAAAGGACAGTGCCAACATACATCCAAGGAGCTACAGAGACCCTGGAGAGCAAAGAAACTCAGCACGGCCACATAGAGAACAGAAGGGAATACCTGCTCTCTACTACATCTCCCCACAGCTGGGATCAGCTGGGAACCAGAAGGATCTTCTCCCTACAGGGAACAGGTAAGCTAGAGGATCCCAGTTGCCTCAGGCAGAAACTATAGTCTTCAACCTTGGCCAACTATAGGCTTTAGCACTGGGGTCTCCTGCCTCTGTGAACTCTAGGCAGCTGAGGGAGCTGTCTGGATAGGAAGCAGCCCCAAGCATCCCAGAACAGTCTCACCCCTCTGTGCCCAAGCAGAAGTGGTACTGCCTCCTGTAGAAACAATACTCTGGCCATCCAGAGCAAGTACCTTGGCCATCACCCACCTGGTACCAACATTGAAGCATTTTTGCCCAGACACGAGGAAGCTATACCTTGGCTGCCCAGAGTGGCCACAAATCCTAGTACCTAAGCTGAAGTAGCACCTTGCCTCCTAAGGAAATGGTACCTGAGGCATTTAGAACAGTCACACTACTGGGGCTGAGTTGAAGAGGTGCATCATTCCCTGAGAAAGTGTTGCCTTCCTTGGCAGAAATGAACAGCTACGCATCCTAGGGCTGAGTTGATGCAGTACCTCACATCCGTGGGAAACAAAGTGCTGGCTGAGCTGACATCTTATTTTAAAGGCCAAATAACTCTATTACTCTACTTCCCTGGGTTGGACTCACTTCCTAGAGTCTGAACTGCTGAGATACCCTTCTTTCCAGGGAGTGGAGTCATTGCTGTGCTGCTCCCTGTCTCCTGAGGCCCAAAAGGCCGCTGTGTCAGCCATTCTGGGGTACTTGCTGCTGCTGCACCTGGACTAATAGAGTCTAGGATACAGCTGAGCTTCACTGTTTCAGGGTCTAGAGTCAACAGTACATAGCACCTCACCCCCTGTGACCCACATTACCAGTAAGACCAATTTGCTCAGGTTCCTCAACTACAGCCATAGCATGCTCCCCAGGCCCAAACCTCCAGAGCACCCTCTTCCCTAGGGTTGGGCCCATACAGTTCCCAGTCTCCAAGGTAGAATCATAGTTACAATCCAGCTCTTAGCACCTTCTAGGCAGTGCCTTAGAGTCACAGATCCCGGCTCTGTGGGCAACCTACATTCATCTCTAGTACAGACAGCAAACTTGAATCCCAAAGTCCAGGTGCTACTATAGGTTCACAGACTGAGTCTAGGACATGGGCCCCAAAGATGTTTCTAGTGCCTGCACCGGGAACCCAGCACTGCTGCAGCAGCTCGTAGGTCATGTCAGAGCAGACAAGTGGCATACCCTAAGATAAGTCCCTTACTGTGGGGAAATGAGAACAGAAGTACCCCTCAAAGCCATTATCAGTGAGGAACTTAATAACCTATGCTACCAGAACCACTGCCACAGACTTCTACAGCCTGGACCACGGAGGCACACACAGTTATTGCTAATATTGGATATGGCTTAAGAACACCATTCTGTCTACCTGGAAAAATAGTCACTACACCTTTCCCAACCAGCAACTAAAATCCAACAGCAAGTGAAAGTCATTCTCCACAAAAGCTGCTGTAGAAAGTTTGGAAGAAGTTGCTGCTCCACCAGAGGCACAGACATCAACATCAACACAGGGATACAGGAAACATGAAAAAGCAAGGAAATATAATATCACCAAACACACACAATAACTGTCTAGTTACAGATCCAGTGAAAAGAAAACTATGAATTGCTGGAAAAGAAATTAAAAACAATAATCTTAAGGCAATTCAACACATATAAGAAAATACAGATAGATAATTTAACAAAATCAAGAGAACAATTCACAATATGAGCAAGAAAGGAGCAAAGAGACAGATATCAAAAGAACCAAACAGAAATTGTGCAGTTGAAGAATTCAATGAATAAAATAATAGAGAGCTTCAGTAGCAGACTGAACTAAGCAGAAGAATAAATCTGTGAACTTGAAAATGGGTCATTTGAAATTACCTGATCAGAGAAAAAAAGGAAATAAGAAAGAAAAGTACTGAAGAAAGCGTACAAGACTTAGGCAATACCATTGTGTGAACAACTAT